TTTTTTTTTTTTTGTTTGGTGTTTTTTGCATTCACATTGTGCAATTTTGCATGCGGACTATAATTTATAAACAAAGCCACGTGGGTGACGGTCATTGCTCCTGTTGGACAGAAAAGACGGAGGCGGTACAGAGCGCAGACCCAAAGCTGACAGCACACTGAGATGGACTTGTTTCACAAATATTCCTAATTTGTTATTTTTTTAAGCCTTTAAGCTGCACTTACGGTATGTGCTTTACTTGTGCATCTATCTAAATCATTACAACATCAGGACTTTGCTACAGAGTCGACCTCTCATCTCACCATTTGTATTTATTGACTGACTGATTGAAAACCAGAATATTGCCATTGACTGATTGAATGACCGCATGCAGCAAAATTTTTGGTGGATAGGGTGGGGAATTTCATATTTCACACCGAACTGAGAAAGACTCAAAGACTGAGTGATTGATGGATGAGTACCAGGAGTGAAGCTCAAAGACTGCAGTGTAGTGTTTCATTAATTTCAAAGATCTGCATACTTCTGTTAAACATTTTTCTTTCTGTATAACAAGTAAAAATAAAAATAAAAACTTTTCAATCTGTGTTATGTTTAAACAAAGCGGGGTAGAGTGGATGACAGCAAGGCAGAGAGACCGTACAATGATTGCAGCCATTTTGCACCTGCCTTTTAAACATGCTGGATAAAGCTACAAAAACAGTAACCTCAGTCAGTGTCAGGTTTGATAAATCACATTGTAGTGCTAAATAATCATATTTGCATACTGTCCTCTCATTACTTTTGCGCGTTCTGATAATCATTACATATTTGGCATATTCATGAAGACAAACACGCTAACTAAAYTGCAAATGCAGTCCTTGGTGCACACGGTTTCATGTCTGTTTACCCACTCAAACCTTTGATAAACCAGCCCTTTAGTGGGCTTTTTCATATTCCTTTCAGGGTTTTTATTGAGATTTTTGATAATAATGTAAAAAATTAAAAACACAGCAATCCTTGAAGGCATACATCACATCTTCCATGACCTTTAGATTAAAAGGTAAATGGACTAAACTTATATAGTGCCTTTCTATCCAACCACGGTATTCAAAGCACTTCACACTACAATCTGTGTCTTCATTTACCCATCCACACACACATCCACACACACATTCACACACACATTCACACACACATCCACACAGCAATCTACAATATCTCTCTACAAAATTAAACCAGACAGATCATCATATGGAGACTAATCAGTGCTTGAAATCACATTCATACACTGATGGGACACACATCAGAGGTGGTGGGAGTTCAGTGTCTTGCCCATGGGCACTTCGACATATGACTGAATAGTGGGGGAATTGGACTGCCAACTCTCTCATCATACGACAACTCCCCTAACCACATCTTTTGTTGATAAATCACAAAATTGTAGCCCTTTTGGTCAAAAATTGAAATTAATATCCACAATCTCATGAGCGATCAAACTCAAACTTTGAGTTTTGAATTATTCTCAGGAAATCCAGCACCAAATTGTAGCTAAAGGTAAATCAGGAAAGTTAACAAGGCTGCCCAAAACTTTGCACCCCCACTGTATGACTGACTGTTTTTTACTCGTTTGTATTTTTTCAAAGGTCAGGTCTTGAATTGGTTCCAAAAGTTAATTACTCATAGAGCTCTAATAATTTTTTGTTATCGTTGTTTTAAAATCCGTCCAGCAGTGACTCAGGACAATTTTTGCAGACAGAGTCAAATGTTTTATTTCAGAGCGTGCCAGTGTTCCTCACCAGGACTTTCTTTACAAATTAAATAGTGAATTGTCGTCCTTTATTTGGAATAAAAAACATCCACGGATAGACAGTAAGATGTTACAGTTACCCCATGGTCTTGGTGGCTTGTCACTCCCCAACTTTTTATATTATTACTGGGCGGCCAACATTAGAGCCTTACTGTACTGGTTGAGAGACGACAACCCTGTTCCTACTTGGGTAAATCTAGAGAGGAAATCAGTTACGGCGAGCTCTCTCTCTGCTTTACTTTGCTCCCGGTTACCGTTTAATCAACCAATCTCAACTTATACTTCTAATCCGGTTGTAACTCACAMAATAAAAMTSGAATCAGTGCAGGAGGTTGTTTAAAAGTACAGAATTATTATTGTCTGCTCCAGTATCAAATCACCATATGTTTGCTCCTTCACTAATGGACTCTGTTTTCAATACCTGGAGTTTAAAGGGAATAACTTCTCTAAATGATCTTTATATAGACAATAAGTTCRCCTCATTTGAACAGTTAGCACAGAAATTTGACATCCATAAGTCACAGTTCTTCAGGTATTTACAACTGAGACATTTTGTAATGTCAAGCTCTGGATGTTTTCCTCTACGCCCCCCAACTTCTCTTATAGATGAGATTCTGATGTGTAAGTCTGTAACAAAACGCTCTATGAGCAGAGTTTATTCCCTGCTCAGCTCCTTTTCTGACTCCAATTTAGACTCTTTGAAGGGCAAGTGGGAGATGGACTTGGAGGAATCCATATCAGACACAGTTTGGCAAAAATTATTCAAAATATAAATTTGTCCTCAATATGTGTGAAACATGTTATAGTTCAATTCAAGGTAGTACATTGTCTACACTGGTCTAAGGACAGATTGTGCAAATTCAAAATGGACTTGGATCCATCGTGTGATCGTTGTAAACAATCTCCTGCCACACTCCTGCACACATTCTGGTCCTGTCCAAAGCTACATGGATACTGGCGAGGCATCTTTGACACCTTTTCAGGACTATTTGGACGAACTGTTCATCCATCACCATTCATCTCTCTCTTTGGGGTGGCTCCAGCAGAGGCTTCCCTCAGTGAACATCAGAGGACGGTGTTAGCTTTCTGCTCTCTACTGGCTAGAAGACTAATTCTTCTTCGATGGAAGGATCCTCATCCTCCAGTATATGGTCATTGGTTAAGAGAAGTTATGTCCTACATTCATTTAGTGAAGATTAGATATACTGTTAGAGGATCTGTAAACAAATGTTTTGACATTTGGCAGCCATTTATATCTTACGTAGAAAAAATTTCGGCAGATAATTTTGTGTAAAGGTTAAATATTGTTTCATTGTACACAAACCTTTTTATTATATCACTTGTATTGATACAAGATCGATTTTTGTTGTTTCAGTAGATCCGGTATAGGGAGGGGTGGGATTTCGGGTGTTTGTGTTTTTGTTAGTTTGTTGTTTGTTTTTTGTTGTGCATTATGTTAAAAAATAATAAAAAAATACTTTGATCAAAAAAAAAGTCAAATGTTTTAGTTAAAACATTAAATGGAGTTAGAGAGATAATAGCAAGCTTTTAAACAACGATCCTGTGCAATCTGCTCATAATATGTGTTACTTAGTTTCATCGATTGCCACACCAAATGTTTGCCTAGTTTCTGTAAAACTGACCAATTTTGTGTTTTTAAGGTAGTTGGACTGTGACTGGCATCTTAATCCTGATTTACTTAAAGTTTCAGCAAAATCCTTCCAATTGTTCATGAGATATTTTGGTAGCGGACAAAAAACATGAACTTACAGATATAAGTAAAATTGTTATTACCCAGCTTTCGCCTTTCAGCAGAGTCTTAGAAAGAACAAGATTATTTAAATGATGCATTCTTGTTTCAGGCATTTGTGATTGATTGAATGATGTGTCTTTTGTTGCTGACCCAACCTGTGAGGACTGGAAGATTCTGCTCACAGTGACGTCTCTTAGCAGCAGCTGGTCATAGTTACCAGTCTCAGGTTCAACACTCATGCATTATTTATCGACGTATCACATCACTCCTGACCAACTTCAGACTTAATTCTTTCTGTACACAACTTCTCTTTGTAGCCTTCTTCTAGGTGCTCTCTAGACAACTAAATGGTCCATGTAGCGTCTCTTTTTGGTAGAATATTAAACGTCAAAGGGTGTCTTCTCCAAGAGTAACTGTTTTGGATCTACAAGATAAGATAAACATTTTTCTTGTATGGTATGTATCATCAGTTYATTTCATATCTTGAAAAACTGAGCATTAAGTAGAGATTCAATATGATCAACTTTAGAGTTTTAGGCCTCAGATGTCTGCAGCACAAATGAAGAAGTTTCTTTAAGGAGGAACTTTATGGTATTAAGTTAATTTTAGATATTCAAATATTATCCTTTTTTGTCCTTTGTCATTTTATTTGTAATGGAAATCTAGGAGGGCAATTGTTTAAAATAACTGTTTCAGATGAATTTTGACAGTAAACTGTTATAATAAACTATGGCAACACTGCAAGCTACAATCTGCGTAATAATAATCATGCTTTATCGTGTAAAAGAAAAAATGTTTTAGTTTCAAACTGTGTTAATATTTCATCCAGCACTTTGAAGATTAATTCCTGCAGATTAAGTGTACAATTTTTGACAATGCATGTGAAATGTATCCTGTTCAGTTGATGTATTAAGGTCAGATAATATGAATAATTGAACAGCCTAATCAGGGGCTACACCAAGGTGTGTAGAGCACAGACACGTCTCACATTTTCTTGTTGGTCAATTCATTCTATTGTCATTAAAAAGGTTTCTTAGAATGAAGTAGAATGCATCCACAGAAAATTAAATATGAACAAAAGTTCTCTTTTTTTAGTCTTTGGTATAAAAAAAGAAAGAAACATTGACTATGATGTAATTGTTTTGATAAAAATCTTTCACAGAGCACACAAAGATCCTCTGAACAATGAAGCGCAGTAAGCACCGCGGACACAAGGAGGACAGAAATGGAGGTAATATGTTTGGATTGTTTGGATCAGGTCACTGAACAACTAACAACCCATCTGAGCCCGTTTCTTTTCATTCGAGAGCATTTTGTGAAACCAGTTATTCATCCTGAAATTTCAAAAAAGCAGTTAAATTTTTTTTATTTGGTTGTGGTCTTCAATTGAACAATATTTTAACTCTAGAAGATTTCTGCCGCAATGTWGATGAGTGCCTGAGTAGCTGTTTCCCAAAATTTCAACAGAACTTTGTAAGAATCTAAATTAGTGAAAAACGCCTACATTTGAATGGATGAACTGTGTAGGAAGAGAAGATTAAAGTGATGTTGAAGCTGCTATCAGTGGCTTATTATGGTCATTGTGGTAAGCACACAACTCTCTATCACACCCTGACTGCCAAGTTAAWGCAAGGCAGACAAGAAAAAGCAGACTGAAAAGTAAGTCTCTGAAGATGTAGGAGACATGAAAAAATAAAGATATCACTTTCAATTAAAAGAAATGTAATATGAAATAGGAATGCGTGATAAAACAATAATGATACAGTATCTATTGCGTTAAACATGTGATCAGTATCAGTAGAAATTATGCCCGATAGTGTTGTTAAATTCACTGAATCTGATCTACAAACGCAAGGCATTCTGGGGGATGGATGCAGACSTCTTACGGCCCAGCTAAGCGAGGTTGGTGCATCAACTAGCTCACTCACTCTTTGGTAAGCTAGCAACAACCTGCTGAGTAACAAGGGCAGCAGCAGTTTCATGTTACACCTCATAACTGATAATAAACAAAAAAGAACGACGCAAAGTGAAAGGAGAAAATGAGGCAAAAGTTGAGAGGAAATTGTGGATAAAAGAGGAATGGTCATATCACCAGTTTGGCAGAMTTAATCAGCCTTTTCCCCCCATGGTCCTTGTTTGAAAAAAGCTTGAAAAACTTTAGAAATCAAAAACAAAAAAAGAACAGTGGACTGGGTTTGGTTGCCCTGGATGTGAATGAAGACTTGTGTATCTCCAGACTCTGTTCTGTAACTGATGTCACTACTGTTTTTTGAACTTATGGATATGTTTTTTGACAGAATATAATTTGAATAATAATCAGACTATTTTTTAAAATTTAAACTAGACCAGCTTCTGAGCATTTGCCTTTTCAGAATAATGTTTTGTATAGTGGTATTAGTTTACATTTTCAGATCTTCCAAGGTGCCAATTATGGAACTCTCTGTGCATTGTTGCCCAAATCAAATTCTGGAAGTGGTCATTCAACTAGATCTGTTACAAAAGGACAACTGACATTACCAAATTTTAAAAACTGTTATGGCCAGAGG